GACTCAGTGGTGGTAAGCGACATGAAGGCACCCAAGATCGCCCTCTACGAGGAACTTACCGACCCCTAAGACCACCTCGACAATTTTCACTACGCCATGGAGGGTAGAGGGGCGAACGAGGCCACGAAGTGCCGACTCTTCCCGACAACTCTACAGGGTGCGACATTAAACTGGTTCAAACAACTGAGCCCCGAGTCCATCGACTCGTTCTCCGAGTTATGCCGGGCCTTCCTAGATAAATATATGATCATATCGAGCCAGATGTACACGGCCAACGATCTCTCGGCTGTTAGGTAGAAAACGGACGAATCTCTTTAGGATTACATCACCCGATTCAACAACGAGTATGCTTGGTGCGAAGGATGCGATGAGGCCACGACCCACAACGTGCTCATGGGAGGCCTCCAGGGAGGCGATTTCTTCTTCAACCTCACTCGCAACCCACCAGATACATACAAAGACCTCCTCCGAGAAGTAGCATGTTACAGTCGAGCCGAGCAACTCAACTCGGCCCATACCAGCACCACGGGCGAGCAGGCCACCTACTCGGAGCCCTCTCGCCGCCGCCTAGAGCAGCGGCAGGGGAATCCCCAAATGAAGGAAAACCAACAAAACAGGCCACATGATCGATGAAACCACGCCCCCGAGTGCTATTCGAGCTATATGCCCCTGAAAATTAACAAAGAAGCCATCTTGGCCATCGCCGGGAAAGAGCTGCCAACTCCGCGGCAGGGCCGATATGAATACCAAGGGAAGCGAGACGAGGCCCGGTACTGCAAGTACCACCGATCGTACGACTATTCGATGGAGGATTGCTATCACTGAAGGAGGAAATCGAGGCACTGGTCAGGCGAGGGAAGTTGCAGGAGTACGTAGCGAGGTCGGAAACAATCACTGACCCTTCGGAGAAAGCAGTTCAGGCATCAGGCCCCAGAAGGTTGATATCCATCATCGGAGGAGGCCCATCCCCTGGAGGAGACACCAATCGGTCGAGAAAGCAGTACATCTTGTGACTCGGCCAAGAGACCAGCCATCTCTTCTCAATCGGCAGCATGGCCTAACCCTTCAAATAAGCTAGGGAGAACAAGCTGGAACCTATCATCTTCACCTCGGACGACAACCGCACGTCTCAACCACATAGCGACCCTTTGGTCATTACAGTGGGGATCGCAAACTATGACATAAATCGAGTCTTCATTGACATGGGAAGCTTCTCGAACATCATCTTCGCGCTAGTGTTCGACCAACTTGGGATAGACCGAGCCCTGCTAGACAAAACGACACCACTTCTCTATGCCTTCGGAGGAGCCCGAGTACAACCCCTGGGTAACATCCACATCTCCCTAACTGTTGGGGAGTGCCCACGACAAGCGACCACCATAGCCAACTTCGTAGTTGTCGATTATCCGACCATGTATAACGTGATCTTGGGACGACCGGCACTTACCGAGCTCAGCCTCACTATCAGTTACTGTACTCTCACGCTAAAATTCAGAACCCCCCATAGGGTCGAGGCTATCCAAGGTGACCAAGCCTCAAGACGGAACTGTTACGTCTCCGCCCTAAGAAGCAAAAGCACTTAGGGGGAGACCTTCATCACAAGCACGGATCGTGGCATTCCCGGGCACATCTGGCTCAGCAGTTACCGACCACACCACAACGATAGACCCATGACAATCACGGCTAGCATTGCACGATAGGACGGCCCTAATGTCTTACTAGAAAAACAAAGCCCCATTAGCATTCTGTTCTCCTCGGCGCTACTAGGGCTCGGGCTGGGATCCAGAGTACTCTTTCCTTACCATCGTAAGCTGCATGCTTTCGACGGAACACAGGTCCGCGTCCTTGGCTACCTCAACCTCCTGGCCTCGTAAGACTTTTTCCAGCACAGGCCGGAACGGTGGCACACTTCTTGATAGTCGACCATCCGAGCCCTTACCTAGCGATCTTTGGGCGCCCTCTCCTGCGAACCCTGCGAGTGACGTTGTACTACAATACGCGGACTCTACGCCTCCCTAAGTTCCAGGGGCCGGCGACGATATTTGCGGACCGACCAGTGCACGGCCACACTGTCCACACCCTCTCCGCTGAGGGCCAGCCACCCGAGCCTGTGAACGATCCTCGAGATGAGTACCCACGGCTCCAACCGCTTGAGGATCTAGAGACCGTGGTCATATCTGACAGCCACCCTGACAAACCCATCCAGATAGGAACCAACCTAGGCACCACTGACCGTGTTGGGCTCCTTGGCTTCTTACGGGACAATTCCGATTGCTTCGCACGCAGACGTACCAGGGATCGGCCCCCAAGTTATCACCCACCGCATAGGCATCAGTCCAGGGGCCCAGCCAATCCGACAGAAATGCCGACCCTATGACAATACTTAGTACTCGACCATGAAAGAAGAGGTGCATCGGCTAAAACAAGTCGGCTTCATCTGCGAGGTAGACTACCCGAGATGGGTGTCCAACGTGGTCATGGTGAAGAAAACCCCCTAGAAATGGAGGATGTGCATCGACTTCACGAATCTTAATACATCTTGCCCCAAGGACAATTTCCTACTCCCCCGGATCGACCAACTTGTCGACGCCATCGTTGGGTTTGCATTCCTCAGCTTCCTAGACGCCTACTCCGGATACAACCAAATTTGCATGGATCCCGCCGACGTTAAGGACACCACCTTCATTACTAACCGAGGGCTATACTACTACCGGGTCATGCCCTTTGGACTTAAAAACGCTAGCACCACATATCAGCGATTGATAAACCGAAGGTTCGCACCGCTCCTGGGCCTGTCCATTGAGGTATATGTGGATGATATGCTTGTCAAAAGCCGCACAACCAGTCAGCACGTTAATCGCCTGATCGAAGTGTTCGCAATCCTCTGCCAGTACAAGATGAGACTGAATCCAGCCAAATGTGTGTTCGGCACGATCAACCACCGCTTTCATCTCGGCGTCGCGCTTCCCGGCCTCCTCCTACACCCGTCGGAGCTCGGCAACTCTGGCCACATCCTTCTCATGATGGATCATGACGTGCCTGACCGCCCCATAGTGCGAAAATAGCGCATGCACCAACACACATGAGTAGCCGAAACCAGAACTCTACCAATCCAAAAACAAAAAAAACAAAAAACAAATGAGTATATATCGACTTACTCACATGCTTGCTCGAACACCATAGCAGTTGAGGAGGCGTAGGTGCTCTCGCCGCCCGTCAAACCCTCCCACGACATCTTCCCCGATAGCACCATCCTCACCATATCCAGGAAGTCCTTCATCCTCTCTAGATGTATGGTCGACGGGGGGATAATCGCTCCCTCATCCCCCTCCTTTGTCCTCGGCCTCTTCGTCCTCAGTGGCTCCCCTTCCTCCGTCATTGGCCTTTTTCCACAGCCCTGCCCCTGTGGTTGCCCAGACGATCGACCCTCGACCTACCCTACCTGCGTAACGGGCGCCACAGCCTCATCCCTAGCCCGAGCCGGGGGCGGCACTTTGGGCCCAGAGCCTGACACTCCAGCTCTTTTCTTGAGCAGCCTCTCCAACAGCTGCCTGGCCTTCGGATCGTTCCTGTTAATACCCATTGCTGCACAACACATGTTAGTACAGCCCTTACACGGGCACGACACCCAAAAACATGAGGCTGAGTCCATCTTAGCTTCTGGGATCAGATCTAGCAAACCAGACCTTCTTACAGAGCTGGTTGACAACAGCTCGGCCGCGTCACAAGCACTGGGCAGCAGAGCACGTATCACCTCAAGCTGTCCTTCCTCGTCCTCGGACAACTGCCCGCTCTCCCAATCCACTGCCGTTTCCAAACGTGAACAGTTAGTTCGAACCCTCGGCATGTAAAAACAAAAAAAAAACAAAAACAAAAAACAAACAAACCCCGTGGGCCGACCACTTTAAACGAAGTACACAAACCCCACATTTCTCCCTAAACCGCCTGGCCACTAGAGCCCTCGGCCTCTCCACACCCGACGCCACTTCCCAACACCCAGTGGCAAAATACCAGTGGTATTTCCACGATTTCTGCGAACTAGGGTTATTGTCCAGCACCTTCCCCTGTAAGGTTTGCAGATAGAAGAACCCAGCTTGTTTTGGGCTCTTCCTTAACCTATAGCAACACCACAAGATGTTTGTGCTCGGCTCAATCCCATGGTGCCTCTTCCACAACATGAACATACACAATATCGTCCTCAGCAGATTCGGGTTCATCTGGTGGGGGCGACGCCGAGGAAGGCCATCTATCTCTGCACGAACGGATGCAGCGGCAACCGCAGACCATTCTTAAACATCTCCCAGTAGAGTGTCACCCGCGGCAGCGCGAATACTATATCCTTCTGCACCTCATACTCTTGCCTGATCCTCTCCAATAGCTCATGCGTCATCCACGTTGGCACGGTATCCGCCGACCACTCCCCCTCTTCGTAGAAGTACGGGTGCATGGGCAACCCCTGCCTGTACAGGCACGACGCCCCTCCCATGCTTCGTGCTGAACTCACTCTCACAAGCACCCTATCCAGATCTACCCGAGCATTGTCGGGGTCCTCGGCCTCCTCTCCTTCACTTACTTCTGCCTCGGTGTCTCCCACCTCGGCATCAGGATCACCCTCTACATTTTCTTCCCCCTCCCGCTCTTTTGACGAGCTTGTCACCTCAACCACCGAAGGCTCTTCCTCAGCCCCTATTCCCACCACTGGCTTGTCACCCAACCTATGCCAGGCCTCATCCAAAGCCCAGAAATTTAAACTCCCCCTACTGGACTCACTCTCACCTGTCCCCTCAGACATCACCACAACGGTAGTTAAAACACAGAGATAAGGAATTCTCACTTGACTCAACTGCAGACCTCCCATAGCTCCTCCTTTACAGGCACTAACTCGAACCTCAATCACCCAAGCTCACACAGCCGTTAGTTGCAGAAACTCCAGAGAGACAAAAATGAGCATCATTCGCGTCTCTGGGCATTTATACCCCAGCACACTCCCCCAACGCTGTCCGATCCATTCCCGTGAACACCCCGGATCACGACACACGGCAGCAAACGCCTTGTAACTCCCACTCGACGAAACCCCAAACGTCCCTCTCGCTCTGCTTCCCCAGGCTCATCATGGCACCTGCAATAAATGCCACACTTCCAGAAGTTGATTGACACGCGTCCACATTGTTTCACCTACTCGAGGCAAGTTCTTCCTTCCCAGAGGAGTTGTGGGACCCACCCTAACACTGCCAGCACTCGGCCATGATAGACCGAGCAGACAAGCACTCGGCAGAAAGAATAGAGCTGGGCAGCTAGACAGATACAACTCCCCACCCAAGGGAAATTTCCTGAAGAGTTGGGGGACTTGTTGAAGCTTGGTAATTACCGAGCCGAGCTGCCCAATTAAAGCAATGGTAAAAATCACCTTTAAGTTCGATCCGGGCTCCCAAAGACCCCCATACCAAAAGCCACCATATACGGAACCGCCCATGCCGCCCACGATAAGACCTCATCCCATCAAGACATGACCACCTCCATACCAGACTAGAAGGCCACCCTACCAGCGGTACCCCCTCCCTTTCTGTGTCAGGGACAGTGCACAAGCCATCACGAACCAAAGATATAGGGGGCCCGCCTAAACTGCCCCTTGACAGGACAGGATGGGACGTCTGCAGCTCGGCTCGGAGCCGAGGTGGTCGACTTGTAATACTTTCCATTATCAAATCCCCCACCCTATAAATAGATAGGGGACTCTTGTAATAAGGGAGAGGCTCCCAGAGAATACTTAGACGCACAATTAAATTCATATCGTGTTATCTATTTAAACTCATCCTTGGATTCAACAGTATTAATTGGTTCTGGAAAGTACTGACTGTTTATTCATAAAATTATAAGGCGTTTGATGTTGTTCCAAATAAATAGTCCGACTAAGTTATAACTTGTAATGTATTTGGTGCTCTGTTGGATTATTATTCTTTAATTCTTTGGCAAGATTCATATGACCTTTGTCTTTTTTCCTTTTTTTTTGGTTGCCAAAATCTATAAGACAAGTTTACATGAACTAACCCATTATCATAATTGTAGAATTCGGAAATGGGATGACATGAGCTGTTGTCATGGTGGGTCATGATGATGTATTGTTTTTGTCTTACCCCGAGTGAGATTATCATAGGGTGTTTTGAGAATTTTAGAAGCAGTTTTTCAAAGTAAACAATTACCATACCAAGTTCTCAAAAGCGCACAAAACAAAACAAAAACAAAAACAAAAATTGATTGTCTCCCAAACTAAAAAAATTTGAAATCCACACTCCCCCAACCTAACCTAAAGTACTAATATATACAAAACCCATATCTCTTATCACGCACAATTGCCAACCTAACTCTAAGTAATACTCCTTAAAAATAAAATTGAGTTTCACTCTTCCCCCATGCTAAGTCAAACTACCAGAATCCGAGGATGGATGCCACAATCAAAGAACACTTAAGTCATTCATGGATACTATCCTAAAGCCCATGAAAGAAGTTTATCATTCATCTCTTTTCATTGAGGTCAAACATATACCTTTTGAAGAAATAATGAAGATATCGATTGTTTACTTATTGAAGCATATGCAAATCATAAAGCTAGAATATACGCATGCTTCCCTATGCTGATACGACACAAGATTACCCAACTTTTCTCTAGCAATGTAGATTGTTTTGTGTTCGAAATGAATTCAGACTCTTCTTGAAAGCCATTGCACTTGAATTAAGTACTTACAAATGAGCGTTTCTTAATTCAGCTAGGTGCTTCATCTCTTCTAGACATCCTATGTACACACGACTTATAAATTTAAGTCTTTTACTTGACTTTTTAAACTTATATATGCAAGAGCTCAACACTTTCTTTTCTAATCTGCCTCTATTAAACTTGTTGAGAACCGATGAGCAAGTTTCAGCGAGTCAAACAAATTTCTTAAAGCTTAAAGCCACATCTAAACAAACATATAGTACTTAAAGCAAGAAAACATAACAGATAATCGGAACTATAATGCAACATACTACTTAAAGCCAAATAATGTTACAAGGATAAAGAATGGTCATTTGTTGCTGAAACTTTTATCTTCCTTTATGTTGGTATGGATGCCTTGGACATTGAAAAGTGGAGATTTGTAAGTGACAAGTATGTCGTTATTTGTTCACACAAAATGGTTTTGAACCTTGCATCATATCTTTGACACAAGTTCTAGAACATAACTGATTTCTACTAACCCTCTAGTGGGTTTACATGTGATGCTTGATTTTGCATTCGTAGTCCCGAAACATCAGTGGCAGTGAGTTCAATACTGCTAGGGAAGAGCAACTTCTGTTTTCCCCCTTTCATTTTTGTCGAACTTAGCTAAGAAAAATCCAAATGAGAAAATTAGCCTTCGGCAGCAAGTAAGCACTATGTTTTTTCAGTGCCACTACCTTTTTTTTTTCTTTCCCATATGATATAGTGAAGTAACACATTAAACCAACATTTTTGTTACTGTAAGTGATAAAATGGTGGGCTAGTCTCATGAGAGGTGCTGTGTCTATAGCACTTGCTTATAATCAGGCAAGTTATACATTTTTATCTCCCTGCTTGTCATAGAGAATCAGGTTTGTGTTTTCAATGACAGTAGCACCGTCTAGTAGTCAGGTAGTTTTTGGACACACAAAAATCTTGTATAGTGTTAACAATCCTTCAGAAGTAATTGGTGTTGTAAGGCCAACTGATGCATGACTTCAAATCAGAATGTGATTATTATTTATTTATTTATTTTTGATGTTTTAGCTTATGAAAGGTAGTGTACCGAATATTGTGACGATCTCGTTCTGCAATGTAATTTTTGTATAGATTCTTTTATTTGCTTCAATCATCAGATCGGATGGGGGTTGGTTGCCTCTTGTGTTGAATCTGATAGATCAATGCAATGTGAATGTTGATAGATCATCAATGCACATGTATCAAAACAGAAAAGAGATATAACTTTTCCTTGCTCTGTTTCTTCACTTTGTGTGTTCTGTTGCTTTGTGCTTGCTAAGAGTGTATTGAGTTAATAAAAAAGGCAACACTTGATGCATTTCCTAAACACACCCGCAATGCAACGCAAGGCAACGCAAGGCAACGCAAGGCAACAGCTTATCCCCATCAAATTCAATACACCTCGACCTTGGATACCCTTCTAGTCTAGATCCAAATGTAAAGACCTATGAAGTGAATCTATAGACTAGACTAGACAAATGAATTTTTTCAGAAGCGCTTAATTATGGTTTAATTGCGGCTAGGCTAGCCTAAAAGATTACCACCAAGGGAAATTGGAATAGTCAAAACGAGCAACTGATGTTAACCAAAACGAGCAACTATGAAATGAAATGAAACAGAATACTCGAACTCAAACTCAAAATGAAAAGAGGAGTGAGAAAGGGTCAAGGAAAGACATGTGAAAACGAATCTCTAAATTTTATCCAGAATTAAAACAATAAAACAAACAGCTAGCATGTGAAATCCTTCCTTAATTACTAACTCATTAGACTAGGTGATCCCTTTTGCTGTATTCCTTCTATAAATGTATCAGAAAATATATGTGTTATCCTGTGCTGTAGTGAAAATTGTTTTGTGACCGACTAATCCAATAATAATATTATATGGATATTGGGTGGTAACATTGTATATATAATGAGAAATTGGTAACACTGATCATATCATATCATTCTACTTTTCTCTGTTTCAGCTTTTCTTTGTTTGAGCTTTTCTCTATTTCATCTTTTCTCTGTTTGAGCAACATGAACAGCATCCTACTTGTCACCTTGTTGGTGTTCCTCAGAACACAAGGCTATGATCATCAATCTCATGCCTTGGCCCTTAAAATCAAACATCATCCCTTCCCCTTCCCCTTACCCAATATCCCCAACAAAGCTTCTGCTTCTGCTCCAGTGACAAGGGTATTCTCTGGCCTCTTCTATACCCACCTGTATGTCGGAACTCAGCCTGTGAAAGTCAACCTGGCCGTTGACACCGGCAGCAGTCCTACATGGGTCCAGTCTGCCCACTGTACGGAGTGCTTCCAAGTTTCATTGCCCAATTTCGACCCCAACAGTTCGTTCACTTTCCAGCCTATGCCCTCTGACCATCCACTCTGTCACGGAACATGTCTTGCTCCGATGGGAAATTTATGCAAGTACGGGATTGAATACCTCAAAAACTAGGTCACTACAGGTGACTTTTGCCTCGACACCTTCTACTTCACCACGACTCTGAACGACCAAGTTGGGCAGCAACTGCGGCAAACACAAATCCATAATGTGGCATTTGGCTGCGGTATCATCAACCGCATCCCTGGTTTCGCCGGAGATGCCCATCATGCTAATCCAATGTCTAAAACTCTGGGGTTGGGGAGGGATGATCCCTTCAACGTCCTACTCCAGCTGAGCGATATCACGTTGCTAAAATTCTCCTACTGCATGCCGAGACGTGTTGGAGATGAGGCGTCTCTGTTTTTTGGCGAAGAGGCAGAGCTCAAAGTTCCAGTGGGTCAAATCCAAACAACGCCAATTGTGGGGCCATCAGATGAGTCGTATTATTTAAACATGACGGGTAAAAGCTTGAATGGATCCATTCTTCCAATCGATCCAAAGTTTTTTACATCCTAGGGCGACTATGGAGTTGCTATAGATTCGGGTTCGCAGTACTCTTTGTTGGTGGACAAAGTTTATCAAGGCGTGCGCAAGGCCATGGTCTCCTGCTTCGTGGATGAGTGGCTGGTGCAGCCTCTCAACAAAACTAAGTCCGGAATGGACCTCTGCTATGACATCACAGACATAGCAGCAACAACAACAACAATAAGAGGAGGAGGAGAAGGCCCAAGCAGCCAGCTATTTTCGGTTGCGCCGCCAATGGTGTTTGAGTTTGATGGTGCCTGCCTTGAGCTAAAAGAAGAAACCACTTTTCAACTTTTTGATGAAGTCAAGGAATTTTGCTTGATGATGGGGGCATCCAAAGACTTTCCAGGAAATATTTTCAGAGCATTCCAGCAGTTCAAGCCCAGATTTGTGTATGATGTTGTGGCATCCAAGTTGTCATTTGCTCCAGAAAGATGTTGATCAGTTGATGCTAATATTATTACGTCTAAATAAAAAGAAGTCATCAACGATCGATCATGGTGCTGCAGCTGTACTGTTATGCCTCATGTCTTGTCATGAATGAATCAATTTATGAATGGTTAAATCGTTGTTGTTTTGTAATGTTATCAAGGGCATTGCAATGTGCAGTTGAGAGGGATGCATTATTTTTATGGAGATTTTTTCTTTCTTTCTTTTATATGGAAATCAATTATGCATCTTAGGTTTCTTGTTGTTTCGTTAGATGAGAAAACATCAGTGGCAGCAAGCAGGCAGGCCCTTTCTTTTGTGGTAACATGACAAATTTCTTACTCAGATCATGTCTAGGTGATAACATCTTTTGTTTTGGCTCAACAAAGATGAACTATCGTCAGTTTGAAAATGCAGCAGTTTCTTCAATTCCGACTCTGTATACGTTTACAAGACTCAAAATGGTTGGAGGCTTAGAAATGAGTTATTACTTTTCATGGTAGATTGGGTAAACAAATTATCCAAAATATATCATGACATTTGAGAGCATAATTGGGTGTGAAAAAAAATATCATGACAACCTTAGCAAAATGTCCCACTGGCCTGAAAGTCCTTTACCTTTCAAATGTAGTTTATTAATTTTATATGAATTATAATTGAACTAACACATTAGTTAATCGTGAGTATGAGTTAACTCGTGTCCAGAGAATGTCTTGACTGTGAACGTGGCGTTGACCGTTGGACAAAGTGCCCAAGTGTCCGACACTCCGACACTTAGGCTTAGTGAATGTGATGCCATAACGATGAGGCTAGGCTATAAAAGATTATTTAGTTCCATCCTGCAAGTACATGTACAATTTTCTCTTTTAGTGTTGAAGTTTCCCATTGCCATTGTTTTAGTTACTCTCATATTGATCAGTAAGAAATCAATAAGATATTTTTCTTCTTCTCTGAGCTTATGATTCATGTTTCGGTCTTTGCTATGTGTATCAGGTTTCATGTTTTGGTCTTTGTTTGTAAACGTGATCACTATTGTAATGTTTGGTGCTGTTGGTACATTAAAATATGAATATGATTAGGTAGGCTCATGGCCTATCCGAGGGAAATTACGCCTATTCCTAATCCTATTTTAGGCTCATGTGTTGCAGCATATATACCTATTCATATTAAGTATGCACATTACATTACAGGCAGGATAAACACACACACAGATTATATATATATATATATATACACACACACATATATATGAGACACCTTAAAGGGTCGTTTGGTACTGCAGACTGTCATGGACTGGACTAAATTCTGGGACTATTTTGGATTAGCTCGAATTGGCATAAGCTGAATTAAGTATTGACCTACATTTGGTGCTGTTCCGGACTAAGAAGTTGGATTGTAAAAATAGTGAAGACCTATGTTTGGTGCTATGTGGGATTAAAAAAATTATTATTTTAATATTTAAACATAATAATTTTTAAATAATTAAATGTAAGTTTTTTTGTTATTATAATTACCAAATTGACATGTACATTTATTTTCCTCCAAACCAAAGGCTTTTTGTTGTTGTTAAAGTTACAAATTCTGCTGAGTTTATGTATAATTGAGTCTTTATTTGTATGCAAACACAAAAAAATATGATTAATGTATAACAACCACCTACCTCAACTCATGCTTTAAGAATTTCAAGATATGCATATATGCAAAACTTATAATTTACATGTAGATGTCAATGTCAGAATTTCTTCATATATGCAAAAAGTTATAAATTTTTCCTCTATGCCAAAGTTGTTCAATTCACTGCACACAATTATACCATTAATACATACAAATAAACATCCATAATTTCAAAATGAAACTAAGAAGCCCCACAACCATGAACCATCTGGCTCGCAATATGTTATACCATTTGTGGTGTTTCCAAAATAAAGTCAATCTCATCAATGCATTATTTGTGGTGTTTCCAAAAAGATAGATGCATCGAATTTAGCTAGGACATGTCCTCAAGTCAATGACCATACTACAACTTAACTAGTTATATAAAAAATCCTATTGGATTGAACTAAACACATAAAGCAAAGCTTCTCATAGGACGTCCATAGCACCTACTAGTTTTGCCTATGCGCCGCCTATGGTCACGAAAGGACAGAAGAAGAAGGGGCTTGCAAATGAAAAAAGAGCAAGAAGATGTGAGATCAAAGTTCACATTAGCTGAACAAAGAAAAGAAAAGAATTAATGCACTTAAACAAACAAAGCCAATCCTTCCCACTATCGCATAAGGTGCCAAATGGCTAACCCAATTGAATGAGAGAGACGAAAGGTTGCCAATCGATCATAAACTAAGCTAACTTTACTCTAGAAAACCATTTACAACATAAACATCGGCAAGATATGTAGTCAATGTGTTGGCCAATCTCAGTCCTAAACTAATGAGAAAGGGGTCACCTAAAAAACTGTCAATTTTAGTCCTAAACTATGTTCTCAAACCTCCAGCAAAAATAGGACTTCCAACTTTGGATAATAGCACAAGTCACCAAGACAAAATCAACCAAAGAAATAGAAAACACAACTCCATGTACAAGACAACAAACCAAAACAAAAGCATACAAATTAATGATAACCAGATCTTTGATCAAACGAAAAACAATAATCATAGCGAAAGCATATAAACCAAGCAATGCAGATACCCATCAAACTCCCAATAATAGGAAAATAAACTAGAAACTAGAGATTGGAGACAAGTTTCTTCAATGTGTGTGAAGATTGAACTTAACAAAAAATAATAATAATAATAATAAAACCCTAGAAATTAGGAAGAAACAGAAGAAAGAAATGAAAAACAATCACAAACAAAGCCTACGACAATGACGTTGGGGCATCAAACTGTCATTTACTCCAGAAATATGTTAAGTTGAAGGAAAAGGACTCATCCTTATTATGTCTAAATAGAAGAAGATTATTAATGGTGTTTTCTAATTAATTTTCATTTTAGTCTTCTCTCTTTTTGTTCTGTTAGTATGTACAAGAAATTGCCATATTTCAAACACCAAGACAGGAATCAGGATGACAAAACTATTGCAATATTATATTCTGGCTCTGCTTGGTAGATTGGCTGAACAAATTAAGGAAAAATGTCCAAAATCAAACAACAAAGTCATGTTATTAATTAGCTATTCCATTGGAAATGGGAAAGAGCATAGGAATTTCACATATGATATATTATATATACGTTATGTTGGATTGGGCAACTTGGACATGTTAGCTAGGTAGGAGGAGGACCTAGAAAACAATGGGATGGGTCATTATTTTTACACACAAACAATAGGAGATAAATTTACTGGTATTACACTACTACACAGATGTGGTGCTTGATTTTGCATCTTTACTCCACTCCTAATAATAATATTCTATAACAAACACATGTTATGTTGGAAAAAGCATCTGTTTATTTATTATATTAATATATAATCAAGCGATACAGCAGCGAAATTCTATAATGAGGCCTCCATATATGGACCTTAGAAGAATTTGACAAGATCAAAGTAATCCAAACGGCTAAAACTAGACCCTCACTTGAAGTCCATATATATGGACCTTATTATAGAACAACTCTGGAGACAACAAATTAGAACAAGACTAAATAAACAATAATCTTTCTTCAGTTCCCTTTGTAAAAAGTTCTCAATTTCAAGGGTTCAAAAGATTTGGCCCAGACACCAACATGGTAATTTTCAGGTGGGTTAGGCAAGGACTCATTCTTAGCCGCAATGACAAGCCCATAAAAGACGCCTGATATATAAATGGTCTCTCCCAAAACTACCCTTTGAAAAACCAACTTGTTTGTGACTTTCTTGTTGTACTCCAAAACAGCCCACTTTCCCTTTTCTACCACAACTGGATCGTTGGTGTTTACAAGCATCCAGGCGCCAGGATATCAGTTTGTTGTAGCACTGGTGGTGGCAAGAGGAATGAGTAAAGTGATCATCAGTATCAGTGTGAGGAAGCAATGAGGATACATTGTAATTTAAATTTAAATTTCTGATGTGAATCTAATGAATGATAAATCAAAAGTTTTTAAGCTTTGATTTGAAAAAAATCTTATTGGGGCATGGTCTGTATATATACTATAGGGATTGGTTGGTTACAACTTACATTATATATTCATAAACAGGTAAGTAATTGAAGGATAGATATTCAGTGTGTCTTCCCACCTATTCAATTCAAAAGAATGGATTTCTTTTTTTCAGAATTTAAAACAATGGATTTGGTTTTTAAAAATGGTAAAAGTAAACAAAATCAGGACAAAATGATATGTCTGTAAAAGGAAAATTAAGTGAGATATAAAATGCCAATGAGAATAGGTTTGTTGGCTGCGCAAATCTCGCGGCCTGGTGCTCTGGGCCGATGGGATGTGCGTTAACACGTGGCGTCCTTCTTTTGGATGCGGTGTGGTTGTGCGCGGGCGTGCCAGCACTGTCTACCGTGCGTCGAGATGGTGATGAGGTTTTTGGGTAGAAGATGGTTAAATGATGAACCTATTTTGAGTCCAACTCCTAATCAAACGATTGTGGCCGAGAGAGGAACTGACCTGGGCCGTCAGGTTCACGGCCTGAGCTACAAGGCCGTTTAGTGGTGGTGTTGGTGGCGGGTTTTAGGCGGTGCTCCGACACGTTGCTCAGAGAGCGACGGTCGTATGATATATGGGGTGAAAGAGATGATAACAGAGATGGTGCTCCGGCGCCTTAAAAACCAATGGTCGTATGATATATTGATGAATGGATTTTCCTTACAATCTACCACTACTCCTAGGAAAGCAAATAAAGATATTGAAAGTGCATGACAGGAAAATATAATTTGCTCCGTGGGAGGCTTTTGGTTTGGTGTTTGAACCCCTTGAATGTATTCTTGAGCTTAGTATTTATAGGGGGAGTCCTGGAGGGACAATCGAGGCCGAAAAGACTTACGTGGTGGAGCCTGATCGTGGCAAGTGGGTAGTCAAATCGGCATTTTGGGA